CATGCTTATTATAAACAGACACTTTTGACAATTTAGTTAATTAATTATAATACTTTGATATATTTCAAAACTCTAATTTTTAATAATTTTTAATTGTAAGTATAATACGCAATTCAGCTCATGGCTGCAATGTATTTACCATTTCTAAAATAAAGTATAAAGTATAAAATAAAGTATAAAGTAAAAGAGTAGGAACTGATCCAACTTTTTCGCGGCGAATTTTTTCGCTGACCAATCACATTGCCGAAATTTGGTTTTCGTTTCGCGCGAACAAATTCGCCCCAAAACAGGCTTTAAAGGCCGGATTCCACGAGGCGGAATTTTTCGACCGAAACGAAATTTCTCTTTGTCTTTTTACAATTAGTTCTGCTCGAGAGCTCTGAAACAAAGAGAAATTTCGATTCGGTCGAAAAATTTCGCCTAGTGGAAAACCGCCTTAAATAATAAATCGATACCTTCTCTTGTTTCGTGATGTAAATCACGTTTTCCAAGCACACGAAATCACTTAAGCCCTTAAATCTTCAGTTACAACGCCATAACTTACAAGTAAAATTCCTATAAAATTCCATCAGTAAAATTTATGACTTATATGAGGGCCCCCTATACCTCTTCACAATATGCTTTCACGTAAAAATATTTTGCCTTTTCACGAGTAACGGATTAAGAAAATCATCGATCACGTTTCACGGCTAAGTAAAATAAGCCCTTCACGCTTCACGCAAAAAGTATAGGGGGCCCGATCACGTTTCACGGCTAAGTAAAATAAGCCCTTCACGCTTCACGCAAAAAGTATAGGGGGCCCTCTTATATGGTTACCACTTTACCATCAGGAATGATTATAAATTTAAAAAAATATGAAATATGTTTCCTGACGATGAGTGAATTTTAGTCGAAAGCTAGAATATTAAAATGTTTATTTTCGAAGTTACCGTTGTTTTATATTTTATTAAAATACTCAGTGGTTCCCGTAATTTTTACCGATTACGTATGACGTCATTGACGTACGTCGACGAATGTTTTCACGAT